AACGGGTTCATCATCAGACACATCCTCAGGAATAGCCCTTGGCGTCCATCTCACTGGTAGTTTTGGCAAAATGCCAGCTTTTATAGTGTTACATCCTTTGATGTTGTGGCCCTGTTCATGGCAGTATGAACATGTTATTGTGCCTCCATGTCTAGTCAATACCTTTGTGCCATCTTTCTTTTCAAACTCATAAGGCTGCTTTCTCCTCTTATTTGAAGGCCTCCCAACTTTCTTTTCATAGAAAGGTGGTTTGATTTCACAAGCATTCATCTTCTGCCACTCACTCCTATCTCTGCAAGGCTTGATAATTGGCTTGTATGCTGACTTGAATGCTTCTATACTGTAGCAGGAGTGCACCAAACTCTCTAGGTCAATTCTCTCATGTCTACAGCATGCAATTGCATGGTGGCATGGAACTCCACTAAGATCCCACCTTTTGCATGTACAACTCTCTTCCTTGAGGTCAACAATGTATGTCTTGCTCCTGTTGTCAACCTAGAAGATGCCATCACCAGCCCCTGAAACCATGCATGTAGCTGCTAGCTCTATATTCCTTTCAATTTTTTTCTTCTTATTTTTGGGCATACAGAACGAGGCTAGTTCTCTGCCTCTTTTCTTTTGTTGTAGAATCTGACCATGAGCTGGGTTTTGATTTTCTCAATCATTGATCTGAGATGCATCTCCCTGGCCTCAAGAATATATTTGTTGAAAACCTCACAGTTGTTGTCAGAAGGATATCACACTTGACCAAGTCTCTTTGGAAGCCCCTAACCCAAGTGTTGGGTGGTAGCTGCTCAAGCCATTTGTATGCTTCTAGGCTGATGACCTTCATTTCCTCCATGCTTGCAGCCCACAGCTCTGGTGTTGTGCTCCTTGCACACTTCCATAACTGGTTCTTAAGAACATCTCCTTTGTGTGTTTGCTGAAAATTCTGCCGTATATGCCTAACACAGTGTCTGTGCTCTGCATCAGGAAAGTGCTGCCTCACTCCCTTGATCAACCCCTTTTGCTTGTCTGGCATTATAGTCCATGGCTCTGTGTTCAGAATTCCCAAGTCAATCTTCAGGTTTGACAGAAACCACTTCCATGTGTCAGTGTTCTCTACCTCAACAACTACAAAAGCTAGAGGGTAAATGCAGTCATTAGGATCCATGCCAACAGCACACAACATAACACCTCCATACTTTGTCTTCAGGTGGCATCCATCCAAAAAATGACAGGCCTACAGACTTGCATGAAACCCCTTTTGCAGGTATCCAGAGAGAAATAACAACTTCCAAATATGCCATCATTGACACCTACAAAGAAAGAGCTGTCTGGGTTTGATCTTTTGAATTCTGCTGCATAATCCCACATACTGTTATACTGCTCTAACTCATCTCCTTCAATGACTTTCTTCACTAGTCTGCTGGCCCTTCTAAGTTTGCTCCTTGTTGTTGTCATGTTCTAGTCCTTCTGAACAACCCTTGAAAAATTCTTCATGTTCATGTTTTCATCTGCTCTGAATGAATCAAGATACTTTCTTGCCATGAAGGGAGCAGCGAATGACTTGACACTCCATTCTTTATACAGGTATGATTTGGGTTATACTTCTTGATCATGAATCAGTTGATTCTCCCATCAAATGATGCATACAAAGACCATGGATACCCATCTTAACAAATGCCTTTAACTCTTTTCCTATCATTTCTAGGGCACTTGATGTCAACCCTTTCATGACAGCTATACTCCTTGATTGCCCTCCTCAGTAACTCAACACTAGCAAATGTCTGACCCACTTTGAACTCTGGTTTAGCCAGGTCCTCTTCTCTAAAACTTTTGAAATTCAGCTTAACCTTATCTTCATCAGATGAAGGCAAACACATGTCCACATCTTCAGTAGGATCACCAGCTTCTTCTTGGACTGCTTTACCTTTGCCTTTGTCACAATCAACATTTTTGTCAAACAAGTCATCATCATCTTGTAGATCAATGTCTGAATCAACAATTTGTGGAATATAATCTTCATCTAAATCCTGCATTACTGAATAACCAACCGTGTCTGCTGCATCCATGTTCAAACACCTAGAGGATTTACTGGCCCTAAAACCAAACTGAGATGAAAGGTAAGTAGTTCCTGGCTGGGGTGGACTTGATATGAAATCATCTTCTTCTGACTCTGCTCCACTTTCTGACTCTGTTTCATCTTGCTCATGCACTTGATCAGGCTCATGCTCTTTATCATGCTGAGGCAGCTCCTATTCCACTTGAGGGAGCTCAGCCTGCTCCTGTCCACTAGAGTGAGCCCACCCTGCTCCTCTTGCTGCTGTTGTGTCTGCTCTTCTTGCTGCTGGTGTGCCTTATCCTTCTTTGACCTAATTCCACTGAATTTGGCAAATGGAGGATTCTCATCATCAGAATGAACAGGAATAAGAGAAATATATGATCTCGGGCTCTCATCATGATCAAGAAATATTTGCTGAAAATGATTCCCATTCAGAACACAATCCTTCATATTCCCTGTCATAGTGTTGTCTCCAATCTTAATCTCTCTTAATCCATTCTCGTACACTGTCAACCCAGGAACACACCAATAAACCCTGATCCTGCCCTCAAACTCATACCCAATTTCCTCAACCAGATTAGCAACAGCAATAGGTGTCCTGTTATCTATGTCACAGTAGTCATACCAAATGGAGTGGCCTTTGTGGTAATCCCTATGCTTGCCTGCACAAAGGAAATAGCCATCATGTATGACCTCAACAGAGAACTGGTTGCTTAGGGACATTTATGAAGGTTCAGTCAAGCTAAAAATATCCAGTTAACTCCAAAAGTTCACACATTTATGAAGGTTCAGTCAAGCTGAAAATATCCAGTTAACTCCAAAAGATCAGTTACTGTATCTAACCACCAGTAGCTCAGTTAATTGATTAAGCATGACCGAACCAAGGGTACTGAGCAAGCAGTAAAGTAATGTAATTGGACCAAAACAAGCAAAGTGGCAATGCTCAGCTATTTTACTAAATCAAGTTCAGACATTTCATTATTCAGACAGGTTAGCACATATAAATTCAGTTATCTTACAGAGCAAATTTCATACATGTTGCAGAAAGAAAGCACGGATTCATGGCCTCCACTGACCAAATATATGATCTTTCATGGGCAAATTGATCATCTCATGCGCAAAACGATCATATCATATCATGATCAACAACCAGGCCATATAAAGCAAATAAACAGGGGAAGAGCGAGCATGGCCTCCCCCTAACATGCTCCAAAATCAAACCCTAATTTTGCTATGCAAACCCTAAACCATCTCTAAATACAAGATCCATAGCACATCAGAAACCCTAGCTTTGATATGTGGCCCTGCTAAACGTCCGCGGCTAAAACCCTAAACCCCACACCATCCGTGGCAAAAAGGGAGAGAAATATCTCAAACCCTAGCACCTGTGCGCAATTGACTCGCACGCAAAGATCTTCCCCGGAGCTTTCATTGACAGGTCGAGCACAGAACCTGCCGGCGACGGTGACGTACCATAAAGGGGCGGCGAGGCATGGTCGTCACGACGCGACGGTGCGAGAGGGACGTCAAGCAGGCCCCTCCCAAATGGCGCGGACGGCGGCGGCGCAGCGTTCGACGACGATCTCATTGTGTCGTCGCCACGCTCGCCCACGCCGGAGACGACGAACCACCTCTGCAACGCCAACGAACCAGGGGAGAAGGGAGAAGCAAGGGAGTGGCTCGGGTCGGCAGCGGGTGGGCTCGGTCGGAGCGGGTGGGTTTCGATCCGACCAGGTGGGGGATGTTTTAATAACGGCCAGTTTTGCAAAAAAAACCTGCGTGCATGCGTATTCGAGCGGCTGGGCACATGTGGCAGTTAAAGCACACTTGGCATCGGTTGACTCGGGCCAGCTCAGCGCGTACATACACAAAACCGTATAATGGACCGTAGATGACCCTTAGAGCAAGTTTGATGACCGTATTTCGAGTATTTGTAATCACAGAGACTAAAGCTAACGCGAGTGCAAGTAAAAGGACCTGTAGTGAATTTTTCTCTTTTAAAACAAAACAAAAAGGCCTCGTCAGTATGTATGGTTTTCCTTCCATCTCCCTCAGTCACCGCCCACCAGCCCAAATCGCCGCCGCCTCGCTCTTCCCTGCTCCGGCCACCGCCGCCGCCGGCGGCCACGCCCCGCTGCTTACTCCCACCCTACCCCTCCAGCAGCCTGTCTCTATTCCTCGTCGCCACATCGGTAACATCCCCCGCAGGTCGCCCCACCGTGCCGCTGTGTGGTGGCCGTCGACGTCGCCGGCAGGGGCCTCCCGCGCGCTTCTCCAAGCCGGCCTTGGCTCGCGTCGCCGGCCATGCGTGGCTCGGACCCAAATTCTTTTCGCCCGTTCGCGGAGCCGGATAGGGAGGGGGGCGGAGATGCTCTGAACTTGAAGCCGAGATCTTTGGAGTGCAGCAGATGGACTCATTTTTCTACGACCGCCTACACATGCTATCAGCGGTAAATTTCCTCATACACTGTTGCTAACGGAGCAAGATTTGTAGCCAAACAATGATTTGTTTTCCTGGTTTAAACAAAAACGAAGGATTCTATATTGTTTCACCTATCCATATCCATACAAAAAGATGACGCATTTCTGTATGGCAGGGCTGCGTGGTGGTCGTTGAAGTCGCCGGCCCCGCTGTACCACACGCTAGTATCATCCACTTGCTCTGAATCTGCCTAACTCCAGACCATTTTCTTCCACACGCTATCATCCACTTGCTCTGAATCTGCCTAACTCCAGACCATTTCTTCCACACGTTGCTCTTATCCTTTTGCGGGTGCTTCCGCGCGGTCTCATCCTGTTGACCCGCTGAATATGCACAACTACATCTACATGCCATTTCTCTTCTGCATAGATCTCACGCTCTCATCCAGCTTGCCTGGATCTGCACAGCTGCAGGCCATTTCTCTTCTGCATAGCGCTTGTAGTGTTTCCCTGTGTTTGCAGTGTGAGAGCCAACATGGCAGAGTTTGTAGTCAGGCCACTGGTATCCACGTTGATGAACACGGCATCCAGCTACCTGCTGGACCAGTACAAGGTGATGGACGGCATGAAGGAGCATCGCGAGACCCTCAAGCGCCAGCTACCAGCCATCTTGGACATCATCCAAGATGCGGAGGAGAAAGGAGCTTCCCGACCTGGAGTGCGTGCTTGGCTCGAAGCACTCAAGAAGGTGGCCTATGAGGCGAACGATGTCTTTGATGAGTTCAAGTACGAGGCCCTCCGGCGTGACGCCAAGAAGAAGGGACACTACAAGAAGCTTGGCTTTGACATCGTAAGCCTCTTCCCTGCTCGCAATCCCATTGTATTTCGTTACAGGATGGGCAAGAAGCTGTGCAGGATTGTGCGCACCATTGAGGTCCTTGTCAGAGAGATGAATAGATTTGGATTCAAACCCACGCAGCAAGCACCGCAATCCAAGCAGTGGCGCAACACAGATTCCATAATAATCGACTCTGAGAAGGATATTGTTAGCAGGTCCAGAAACGAAGAGAAGGAGAAGATCGTGGATATATTGATTGGTCAAGCTGGCGATAGGGATCTCATCGTCCTTCCCATTGTTGGAATGGGCGGGCTGGGCAAGACCACATTTGCTCAACTCGTGTACAATGATCCTGCAATCAAGGAGTATTTCCAGCTCCAGAGGTGGTGTTGCGTGTCAGATGATTTTGATGTTGTGAAGATTGCAAACAACATCTGCGAGACCAATGAGATCCATCGTGAAAAGGCATTGCGGAACCTTCAAAATGAAGTAAGTGGAAAGAGATACCTTATTGTGTTGGATGATGTATGGAATGAAGATGCTGATAAGTGGGAAAAACTCAAGACCTGCCTGAAGCATGGTGGCAAGGGGAGTGCAATACTAACGACCACTCGTAAAGCGCAAGTGGCTCAAATTATGAAGATGTGTATTGATGATAGCCATAACTTGGGGAAGCTACATAAAGTATTTCTGAAGGAAATCTTTGAGAACAGAGCATTTTGTTTGCATAAGCCAAGTGCTGCTGAGCTAAGTGGTATGGTTGAAAAGATTCTGGACAAATGTGGGGGCTCTCCTTTAGCTGCCAAAGCCTTTGGATCAATGTTGAGTAACAAGAATAGCATGAAAGAATGGATGAATGTACTAACCAGAAGCAACACTTGTGATGAGGACACAGGAATTTTACCTATACTCAAGCTCAGCTATGATGACCTTCCATTACACTTAAAACAATGCTTTGCTTTTTGTTCATTATTTCCCAAAGATTATGAGATTGATGTTGAAATATTAATTCAGCTATGGATGGCACATGATTTCATACCACTAAAGAAAGGTGACCATCTTGAAAAGGTAGGCAAAGAAATTTTTGATGAGCTAACTTGGAGGTCATTCTTTCAAGATGTCAAGCAAACCTCTCAAAGAGAATATCAGTATGAGCTCCGTTCTAGAACAATATGCCACATTCATGATCTTATGCATGACATTGCCTTGTCTGTTATGGGAAAAGATTGTCTTACATTAGTTGATAGGCCTAATCAAAAGGAGTTGTTGTCAAAAGGCTCTACTCGTCACATGTTCTCATCATATCGCCATATGGGAATGCTTTTGGATGATTATCTGAAGAAACACTCTACGTCTCTCCAAACACTGTTGTATCCAGATAGCTTCAGTCGAGGCTCAGCACCACACTTGTCGATGTACAGTCATCTGCGAGCACTGCAACTCTTTGGGTTGAGGAAACTTCCACTCCGACCAAGGCACCTACAGCACCTGAGGTATCTTGATCTCTCATCCAACTGGTGTATCAAGGAGCTTCCCAAAGAAATAAGCGTATTGTATAATCTGCAGACTCTTAATCTTACCTTCTGCATTAATCTTGATCGACTTCCAAAGGATATGAAGTATATGACTAATCTCCGCCACCTCTATACAAATGGATGCACATCATTGAAGTGCATGCCTCCAGACCTCGGGCAACTCACTTCCCTACAGACTCTAACGTATTTTGTGGTGGGTTCTAGTCATGGTTGCAGTACTATTAAAGAACTACAAGACTTAAATCTTGGTGGTGAATTAAAGCTATCTGGTCTTCACTATGCAATAGAAGAAGATGCTAAAGCATGCGGCCTTGGAAACAAAGAGAAACTCACACATTTATCTCTTGAATGGAATGATGATAGTACTGAACTGGACCAGCAAAGGAATGTGCTTGATGCTCTTAAACCTCATGCCGCACTGGAGTTTCTACAAATAAACTCCTATAAAGGTATTGGATTCCCGACATGGGTGACAAGTCTTAATGTTCTGCAGCGTTTGACCGAGCTCCACCTAGATGGTTGTACAATGTGTGAGGAGTTTCCCCAATTTGGTCAATTTAACGCCCTTGAGGTTCTTGTTTTGGAAAGGTTAAACAAACTGCAAAGCCTATGTAGTCACAATTCATCTGCTGCATTTCCAGCACTAAAAGACCTCAGATTAGCAAATTTGGAACTTTTTGAGAGATGGGTGGCAAGTACAGAAGGAGAAGAACTAGTGTTTCCTGTACTTGAGAAAGTTCAAATTGAGAACTGCCCAAAGCTAACAACTCTGCCTGAAGCACCAAAACTGAAAGTTATGAAGCTAAGAGAAGAAAAAGCTCAACTATCCTTGTCAATATTTCGATCCAGGTACATGTCTTGCTTGTCTAAGTTATCTGTGTTTGTCAAAGATACAGAAGCAACACCAACACTGAAGCTCGATCAGGATCGTGAAGTATCTCTTTTGGAATTGTGGGTGGATGGTTGCAACTTTTTGTTCCCCTCAAATCCATCACAGCCAGCAGTTGCAGTCTGGAAATGGTTTGGTCAGCTAGAGGAATTAGTGATCGAAGATTGTGATATTCTCACCTACTGGCCTGAAGAAGAGTTTCAAAGCTTGATATCATTGAAGAGTTTAACCATCGATAACTGCAGCAAGCTAATGGGATATCGTACTCGAGGAAGGGATCAACTCCTGCCAAATCTAATAAAACTAAGGATATATAATTGTGAAAGCCTGACAGAGCTTTTCGTTCTCCCCACATCTCTTGTGCATATTTTCGTTGTTGATTGTGATAGTCTTGAGTCCATACTGGGGCAGGATGATAGAGAGTTGGAGAGTCTACAAAACTTTGATACAACAGCATCGTTGGAAAACTGCAGTGACCTTGCACCCACAAGTATGCCAGAGCAGTCACTTACAGCCAGAATTAATCCTTTGCCATGTCTCAAGACTTTATCAATAGGTGACTGTAAGAAGCTTCGTTTCGTCCCAGCACAGTTGGATGCTCTCCTAGATCTGTACATTGATAATTGCAATGTTCTGGAGTCGCTTGATTGTTTGGGAGACCTGCCGTTACTGACAACACTAAATCTTCAGAGGTGCAAACGTTTGGCATCTGTTCCACGTAGTTTTGCCAATTATTCAGCCCTTCGGGAGCTCACTATTGAATACTGCCCAGCTATAAATATGAAGGCTCTTTATGGACAACGGCTTGATAGCCTTGAAATCAAGGATCTGTCTCATGCTGGTTTATGCGATCCTGATGAAGGTACCTTTCAATTTCTTTACTTCATTCTGTTTCTCCTTTTCCCCCTTGCATATTGTTACAAATGTACACCTTGCGCCCTGCAGTTTGAAGTTTATTCAACTTCCCATGTATTTTCGCTTTTGCAAACACATTTGGCATGTCTGTTTTTCTTTAACTCAATGTCAAGAGGCTTGTTAACAGAGTTTTCATGTCTGTTTTTATTTAAATCAATTTTAAGAGGCTTGTCAGCAGAGTTTTCATGTCTTGGGGTAAGGAGAGCGGCGATTTGCTTTCAGTGTGCTGGGGGCCATTAACTTTGATCCAGTGAACTTGGATCAGAGCTAAATCGTTATTTCCAGTGTTTATTGTATTTCTGCACAACAATAAATATAATTATGCAGTACTATTGACCACAGATGTGACTGTATTTATATTTTCTCCCGTAGGTGTTAAAATGAACCCATGGAACCTCGTGTGATCCTGCTGAAGGCACCTTTGAGTTTCCTATTCTACCGTATGTGACCAGAAGCTTCGACAAAACGAATTCCAAGTTGCAGAACTGAAGAATGAAGACCTGAAACCTGTTTGCTGTGTGCATGAACAGTCCATGTTTGCTCTGTGCAGGCTGCAGTCCAGTTTCTAGCTGTTTGTTTTCATTTTTCCTGTGTGGTATGCTGGCAGCAGAGGTTGTGTATCTGTTTTTTGTTTGCCAGAGCTATGATAATAATTTTGTTCCGCAAATGAAAGATCATTAGGTTAATCCCTGCCACCAGGGGATCATTCAGTTCTATTGGCAACACTGATGCAGCTGTTAAGTACATAAACTAGAATTATCCTAGCAGAACTAGCTGTAGATAGATATCCAAGCAGACATTAGTCTAGTTCATCTTCAGACTTGTCCTAGCAAAACTAGGCGAGCATAATTTTCTACTAATTGAACTGCAAAAACGTCGTATATTTAGGAATGGAGGTAATACTTGCAGTCAGAGAAAGGTACTAAATATAAGACGTTTAGGAACGGAGTAGTACTACATAGTTAAAGTTGTAGAGCAAATTCATGCGCATCTATTGCCACCCGGCACTCAACGGAACAAAACGATCAGAGAGAAGAAGAAAGAACATTTCTTTTAGGAGCAGAAGAAACAGCGTACGAGCAGCGCTTTGTCTCGCTGCTGCGAGACAGACTGTGCGCTTGCCACAGGGCCCAGTAGGACCTGTCGCCTGATTCGTTTATTGTTTTTTGAAACCTCCTTTTTCAGTCTTGTTTATATATTTGAAACATTCTAAATACATATATTTCAGAAAACAATTACTTGAATTTTTAAAAGAGTTCATCACACATTTAATTTTTAATGCAATATAAAAATAATGGTCATGAAACTTTTAAAAATTATTGATAGCAAAAATGTTCGTGATATTTATAAAATCTTCACTTGTTTCAGACAAATGTTTGACGCATTTTTTTAAACTTTTCGTAAAATTTACATAAAATACTCGCACAATTTTTAAAAATGTTCCGTGCCAATAAAAAAATGTTGGTTACAATTTAAAAAAACATTATAAAATGTAAAAAATGTTTAAATTATTTAAAAAAGTCATGCCAGAATATGTTCAAACATGTATTTATAAAATTTAAAATGTTTCTTGCCATTAAAAAATGTTCAACACGTGTTTGAAAAATGTATTTAATATATGCAAAGAATATATTCAAACATGTATTTCGAAAAAAAGTCAACCGGGTATTGAAAAATGTTGAATGCGTATAAAGAAATATTTTGCATGAGTGCAGAAAATTTATAACATGTATTAAAAAAAGTTGACAAGTAGGAAGGTCCGGTCTGCTACTCGTCGAATATAAAGGGAATAATAATATGACAGAGATTTTGTTTTTCAAAACCTAATGTCGCATGACCGCCACATGATTATGACGCAATTGCTTCCGGTTGCATTGAGGGAGTTTCTACCGAAAAAAGTTCAATTAGTCATTGTGAAGCTATGTGCATTCCTCAAACAATCTCTCAGAAGGTAATCGATCCATAAATCCTACCAAGGTTAAAGAATAATTTGGTGCAATGTCTTGTTAGTTTCGAGTTGGTGTTCTCACCATCCTTCTTCAATATCATGTCGCATGTCCTAGTTCACTTAGTCGACGAGATTGCCATTCTGGGTCCTTTATTTCTACACAATATATTCCCCTTTGAGAGGTTCAAAGATCGTGGATGACGCCTAGAGGGGGGGGGGTGAATAGGCGCTTTAAAATAATTATGGTTTAGGCTTGATCAAAAGCAGAATAAACCCAGCGGTTAAATTGTCAAGCACAAAACCTACAACAACTAGGCTCACCTATGTGCACCAACAACTTATGATAAGCAAGATAAACTACTAGGTGATAGCAAGATATATGACAAGAGACAATATGGGTATCATAAAGTAAAGTGCATAAGTAAATGGCTCGGGTAAGAGATAACCAAGGCACGCGGAGACGATGATGTATCCCGAAGTTCACACCCTTGCGGATGCTAATCTCCGTTTGGAGCGGTGTGGAGGCACAATGCTCCCCAAGAAGCCACTAGGGCCACCTTAATCTCCTCACGCCCTCGCACAATGCAAGATGCCATGATTCCACTAAGGGACCCTTGAGGGAGGTCACCGAACCCGTACAAATGGCAACCCTTGGGGGCGGTCACCGAACCCGTACACTTTGGCAACCCTTGGGGGCGGTCACCGGAACCCGTCAAATTGCTGGGGGTGATCTCCACAACCTAATTGGAGACCCCGACGCTTGCCCGGAGTTTTACACCACAATGATTGAGCTCCGGACACCATCAACCGTCTAGAGCGCCCAAGCACCCAAGAGGAACAAACTCAAGGGTACCAAGCACCCAAGAGTAATAAGCTTCTCAACTTGTCAGTTTCACGTATCACCGTGGAGAACTCAAACCGATGCACCAAATGCAATCGCAAAGACACACAGAGTGCTCAAGTCCTTCTCTCCCAAATCCCACCAAATCAACAAATGCTAGGGAGGAAAATGAGATGCGGAACAAGGAGAACACCAAGAGATCCAAGATCTAGATCCAAGGGGTTCCCCTCACATAGAGGAGAAAGTGATTGGTGGAAATATGGATCTAGATCTCCCCTCTCCTCTCCCCCCAAAACTAGCAAGAATCCATGGAGGGATTGATAGATAGCAAGCTCGAAGAAAGGTCAACAATGGGGGAAGAACACGAGCTCAAAGGATAAGGTTCATTGGGGAAGAAGATCCCCTTTTATAGGTGGGGAAAAAATCCAGCCCTTATGCTCATAGCCCACACAGAGCGGTACTACCGCTCATGGGAGCGGTACTACCGCTAGGGCGATGGAAGCCCTTAAAAAAACAGCGAGGAGGCAAAAGGCCAGTAGAACCGCCGGAGCGGTACTACCGCTAGTGGTAGCAGTACTATCGCTAAGGGTAGCGGTACTACTGCTTGCGAGCGGTACTAAAAAAATACATTTGTGCCTATCACTTCTGGACTTAATACGAGATTTTGGTCCGGAGCGGAAGTAGCCACGGTAGTACCACTCTAGAGCGGTAGTAAAAAATTACATCCCCTCCAAGCGGTAGTAGCCACGGTAGTACCTGTGCAGCCTTTTAAGGACACCAAAACTGCCACAACTTCTGCAAACGGACTCCAAATTCAACGAAACCAAGTTTGTTGGAAAGCTAACGACATGGGCTAACACAATCTTGATAGAAAATAACAATAAGAAGCAAATGAGAAAAGGCCCATAAGAAAATGGTGAGAACCCTTCCTCGAATAGGCCCGGTGAAACCTCCAACACCGAAAACGTAATAGAAGAAGCATAAGAAATCCGTTTTCGATGTACTAGAGCTTGAACGAAGATAATCACAAGCTCTAAAACCTCAAAAAGATAAAATACAAATAATAATCAAGAAAGATGATGCAAGGATGCAATGGTTTGAGCTCTCGACGATCGATACGATCAAGCTACTCACTTGAGAGACCCCCTTGATAGTATGACTATCGATCCTATAACCTGGTCTCCAAACTATCACCATGAGACCGGTAAAATAGAAAACCTATCAAGGAAAACGTTTGCCTTGCACGAAGTGCACTTGAGCTAGATGATGACGATCTTGACTCCCTTAAGTTAGACCACCTTGCTTGATTGCGTTCGCTCGATGAAGACTAGTTGATTGATCCCCCATACTCCACTATGTGTGAGACACTCTTTGGCACATATTCACAAGTCCATTGACACCACAATGGACGGCAAGCTTGAAGGATGATCTCTTCGTGATGCGCCACTTGAACTTGCACTGCAATCTTGATGACGATCACCACTTGATGTCATCTTCCATGGGTTGTATGAGATCTTCCACTTGATGCAAACCCATAGAAACAAACCTAACCCCACATAGAACTCACACGTAGATCATGGGTTAGTACACAAAGCGTAATGGAAAATGCTTAACATACCATGGGATCACCTGATCCCTCTCGGTACATCTTCTACGCTTTGTGAGTTGACCAACTTGATTTACTCTTGACTTAGTCTTGATCAACCTTAAGCCTTTCCAACTCTCTTCATTTGGATGATGCCTTGAAGGTAAGCATGAATGATCACAAAATCTTCTTCTTCAAGACATGCTTTCAATAAGCTCAACTCTCACATGACCAATCTTTGGATAATTCCTTAAATAACACCTTGGTCAACACATAAACTCCTATGTAAAGTGCATTCTTGGGCGCAAGCACACTACATAGTTCAACAGAATTCCACCTTGGTGGCTCCGTATATCGAGGAACACTTGAATATTGTATGTTCCAAGAACTCAGAGGTGTTTGAGCCCTGGATCAAACGTACACACATGCCGTCATATGACAGTTGGTTGCAAACACATCTCATGAATGACGACACTGTTGGAGATGAGTTGTACTTGCTGGCCAAGTCACCATCTTCGACTATATTAACTTTCAAAGGGTACGATATAAATGGGAATACATTTTACAGGATCGCCCAAGATAAAAAGAGAACCAACCAAAACAGTGGTGTCCACTTTGATGCAGCAAACACCAAACTTGACTATGGATGTGATTTGAAGGTCCCTTTGTTTCGGTGCAAATGGGTCAATCTAACAGGAGGCGGGGTAAAGGAAGATCGGCCGTACGGAATGAAAACAGTGGATCTCAACAATCTTTGGTACACAAATGAACCATTCGTCCTAGCCAATGATGTGGTGCAGGTTTTCTATGTGAAGGACATGTCTACCAAGCTGAGAAGAAGAAAAGATAAGGAAGCGAATACATCA